TATTAGTTGGAAGAGTTCCAAACAGCCAACCGTTGCAGATTCGACTACAGAAGCCGAGTACTTAGCAGCATCGGATGCAGCTAAAGAAGCTGTTTGGATCAGGAAATTCGTGGGAGACCTGGGGGTCATTCCTAGCGTTGCAGATCCCATTGACTTGTACTGTGACAACAATGGTGCGATCGCACAAGCAAAGGAACCCCGGTCACACCAGAGATCCAAACACATACTCAGGCGATTTCACTTGATTAGAGAAATCATTGACAGAGGAGACGTGAAGATAAGCAGAGTGTCGACAGATGATAATATTGCCGACCCGCTGACGAAACCTCTCCCTTCGTCAAAGCATGATGGTCATGTTATGGGTATGGGGATTAGATGCTTGTAGGATAGATCATAGAGCATAGTGGGAGATTGTTGGTTGTGATGCTCTAGGATGATCCGTGATATGACATTTCGACATATGTATTGATTCATTGATTTATGAATGCATTACTATTCCCGTTATATGATTTGCATGTTTGTTATATTACGGTAAATATCCTTGAATCATAGCAGATGATTCTAAATTCCCTGGTCAGTTATCATTGTGGGAACAATGATGAATTAAGACTAGCATGATGTGTGATGGATGATTTTGATCATATGCATTAGATGCGAATCACAATCATGGGTTCTCGTTTGGAACGAGTTACTGGATGACCCGCATGAGATTGTCACATGGACATGAGTCATGGCTTGAATCTCATACAGCGGTTCGTTCTTGGATCCTCAGACCTGAGATGTCTAGAGTATCTGATATGAGGAGTGACGTGTCTTGACTGCGTCAAACGTCGTCTTTAACCGGATGATCATAACGGCGTTGCTCAGATACGTTAACGAATCATATGCAGATAGTAGACATACAATACGGGACTTGTCACCTCCTACGCAGGAGAGATGTCGCTGGGCCCCTCGTGGAAATCGGACTGTGAAAATGCGTGGCCACGCTATAGATGAATGTACATCTATTTTATCAGTCGGTTTGCCTAGACGAGTAAGCGGTTGAACTTGAAGGGTGGCTCAAACCATGCCCTTGTTCAACACATGATATCGTGAGATAAAGGATCAGAACTCGAGCTGTTATTGCCTTGGTTAGATCACCTCTAACTCAATTCAACGTGGGTGGTCATGGCGTCTTGCTAGAGACTAACCATGACTTGTGGTTCGGGAAAGGTTTCCGAAGACACTGCCACTTCGAATGGGCCTACAGGGTCACACACCACTAGGGATGGATCACACGTGAAGAGAACAACGCGAGAAAAGAGCGACGAAGAAGTCGCTAGCGTCGCACATCAACTCGAATGGAATGTTCCAATCTGGAGGTTGAATAATCGGTGGTGACACTAATGCTTGCTTTAGAGTCTTGAATGCTTGGTTGCACTCCTCGTCAAACACAAAGGGTACATCTTTTCCTAGGAGTGCGGTTAAGGGTCTTGCTATCTTTGAGAAATCCTTAATGAATCGTCGGTAAAACCCCGCATGTCCTAAGAAACTTCGAATGCCTTTGATGTTCATTGGTGGAGGGAGTTTCTCTATGACTTCCCCCTTTGCTTTGTCAACTTCAATCCCCTTATCTGAAATCCGATGCCCCAAAACTATGCCTTCTTGCACCATAAAATGACATTTTTTCCCAATTTAGGACCAAATTTGCCTTGCTGCACCTGTCTAACACTCGATGAAGATTTGTTAGACACGCATTAAAGGAGGGTCCATGGACGGAGAAGTCGTCCATGAACACCTCCATTATATCTTCAATCACATCAGAAAAAATTGCCATCATGCATCTTTGAAATGTTACTGGTGCATTGCATAATCCAAAAGGCATGCGTCTATATGCGAATGTACCATAGGGGCATGTGAATGTTGTCTTCTCTTGATCGCTAGGATGAATAGGAATTTGGAAAAATCCAGAATACCCATCGAGGAAACAAAAATATGAGTGCAATGCAAGCCTCTCTAGCATTTGATCTATGAAATGTAGGGGGAAATGATCTTTTCGGGTGTTCGTGTTCAATTTGCGATAATCTATGCATATTCTCCACCCCGTGACTGTCCGAGTAGGTATTAATTCATTTTTCTCATTGGTGATGACTGTGATTCCCCCTTTCTTAGGTACAACTTGAACCGGGCTAACCCATGTACTGTCAGAAATCGGGTAGATGATACCCGCATCTAGCAATTTTAACACTTCTTTCTTAACGACCTCTTTCATGGTGGGGTTTAGTCTAGGCTGGTGTTCTATGGATGACTTAGCCTCATCATCTAAATGAATGCGGTGCATGCAAAGTGAGGGACTAAGACCTTTGATATCCTCTAGCGTGTACCCTAAAACGTTCCTATATTGCTTGATTAATGCAATCAGCTTTTCCATTTGAACGTCATCCAGAGAGTCATTGACAATGATAGGGTATGTAGAGTTAGAACCGAGATAGACATACCTAAGCCCTTGTGGTAAGGGCTTTAGTTCCACCTTCGGTGCTTGCTCCGGGTCCCAATCAGTGGAGGGAATCATCTTAGATCCTTGAGGTATGTCACTGAGGGTGTATGCTGTGAAATTCTGGCCTTCATGGTTCCCTTCGAGTGTTTCATGAGTTGGTTCCCCGTTTTTGCTCATAAAAAATGGGAGGGTCGCCCTACCATGAGGAAGGGCCGCCTGAAAATTGCAAGACTCACTTGAGCTGATAGGGCGCTCGCCCTTATGTGTGAGCGGGTCGCCCATTTTTTCTGTAGAACTTCCTGATTGCCCCATTTTCAAACTGGTCGCCCTAAACTTCGAGAGGGCCGCCTGAAATTTCTGTGAACCAACTGAAACTATAGAGAGGTCGCCCGTTTTTGTGAGCGGGTCGCCTGAAATTTCTGTAAAAATGTCTGATTCTTCCGTTTTCAAGCTGGCCGCCCTAAATTTAGGGAGGGCCGCCTGAAATTTCTGTGACTCGTCATTTTCTTCTATTGCACTATCCAAAGCCTTTCTGATCACCTCAATCTCCTCCCAATTGCTATACAAACTTTCATTTGTTGCCATTAGTGATATTTCCAACGGATCGATCTCTCGGAACTCTTCCATCACTTCTTTGACCATTGCTTCCAAGACATCCACGAAGCATACTGTATCATTGGTGGAGGGTTGTCGGAGATTCTGATCGAGAGTAAATTCCACAGTTTCGTCTCCGATTTTCATTGTCAACCTTCCCGCTCTAACATGAACTATGGCGTCTGCGGTACTTAGAAAAGGTCGACCAAGAATAATCGGAACCTTGGAGTCTTCATCCATATCCAATACCACGAAATCAACTGGAACGTAAAATCCACCAATCTTCAGGGGTACATCTTCCACTATCCCTGCTGGGTACTTGATCGAACGATCCGCTAACTGTAGAGCCATTCTTGTTGGTTTCAATTCCCCTATATTCAGCTTCTTGTAGATCGAGAATGGCATAAGACTTACACTCGCTCCCAGATCGCATAGAGCTCGATCTATCTCAATGTTGCCCAACTTGCAAGGTATGGAGAAACTTCCCGGATCCGACATCTTCGGATGGAGCTCGTGTCTTGTAATGGCAGCATTGATTTCAGTGCTTAAGGCCACCGTTTCCTTTTCTACCACTCGCTTCTTAGTCAAAATATCTTTTAGAAATTTTGCGTAGGAAGGAATTTGGAGAATCGCTTCATGGAATGGCATCGTAATCTCCATCTTTTTTAGCATCTCCGCGAACTTTCCAAACTGGCTTTCCTCATTGAACTTTTTCAAACGAGAGGGAAAAGGGATTGGAGGTACCTTAGGTGGTGGAGGAGTGTAGGCCGGCTCCTTTTCCTGGGTGTTTGTTGTGGAGTTGCTTTCTTCTACCGCTTTGCCTTTCTCTTCCCTCGTTAGCCTTGGTGTTGGTGCTTTTTCGCTCATGGGTGGACCGATTTCCGGGAGTTGCTTTCCACTTCTCAACTCCACTGCATTAATGTGCTCTCGAGGATTCACTTCACTCTTTCGGAGGGCCGCCCTAAAATGAGGGTAGGGCGCCCGGTTGTCCAAAATCTTTAAATGAGCTTGTACTCCTTCCAATTGCTTTTTGAATACAATTTGCTCATTCTCGATGTTTCCGATAGATATTCCTTGTGACTTTTGCCCTTGGAGAATTTGCATCAGCATGTCCTTGATCTCGGGATCTTGATCTTTTGGTTGCTCTTGTTGTTGCCTATAGTTCAACGTTCCTTGATAACCTTGGTTCCCTTGGACTTGTTGCTGGAACTTAGATTGAAAACCTGGGGGTCCTTGGTTGCTCCGTTGAAATGTCGGTTATGGGTTCATTGCATTTGTTTGGTTCTTGTAGGAGAAGTTTGGGTGGTTCCTTAACCCAGGATGGTATAGGTTGGAAGGGTGGTTGTATTGGTTTGGACCAATATAATTGGCCTCCTCCGCTTCTTGATTGACCAAATACATCCCCGGTTGGATTTGTGCTGAACTTGGCTCCTCGATAGCTGCTACTTGCTTACTGTTTGCAAGTTGTATCTGTATCTCAGCAAGTTCAGATAACACTGCCTTGAGTGCTGCTCCTTCTCCCGCATCTCCCTTTGTTGAGCCCCTCCTACTGAACTCATTTGATGTATGGCCTCGTCCTTTGGCCAACTTTGCAATTGTTGCTTCTAGCTCTTGAAAAGGGATGTCATAGATGTCACCCCCACATGTCGCATCGATCCATGATCGAGTGTCATCTTTTAATCCATGAATGAAGATAGATAGGAGGTAATCTCGTTCCATTCCATGGTGAGGGCACATCCTTTGGTATTCTTTAAATCGTTCCCATGCATCATGAAGATTCTCCCCATCCTCTTGTATAGAAGCATTGATCTGATTCCTTGCGTGTTGAGTTTTGGTGGGTGAATAGTATTGCATAAGGAACTGCTCCTCCATCTCGTCCCAAGATGAAATGGAGTTTGGCTCAAGAGTGTAGAGCCAATCTCTTGCTCTCTCCATGAGTGAGTATGGAAAAGTCTCAAGGAGCACATCTTCCGTGGTGATTCCCGGCCCTTTCTTTATCGCCTTACAATTCATCTTGAAGTTGGTAAGGTGAGCATTTGGATCCTCATTGGGCCTACCCCGGAAACTCATGTTGTTGAGCATTTGGATGCATTGTGGTTGGACTTCAAAGTCCTCCAAAGGCTCCTTGTTAATGCAAGAGAGTAGTTGAGTGTGCTTCGGTTGTGTGTACGTTCGAAGCGTTCTAGGGGCTGCTTGGGCTGGTGGTTCCCTTCGAGCATTGTTCTCTCTCAACAAATCTTCGGCCATTTTCCACTGTCTTTGTTGCTTCCGAGTAAAACATACAGTCCTCTCAATTTCTGAATCAAATAGAAGTTGATCCTTGTCGGTTGTGCTTCTTGTCATACACCGAGAGATCTACACGCA